GCAGGTACATGCTGAGCTCCTTTGAACAACTAAAAGGTTTATAAAGCAAACACTTGTTTTTGTGCATTTAATGTGACATAGTGATTTATGATTATCTATAGCTTGGAAGAAAATCCTCAAATATTTAAAGGTCTTGACTTGCTCTATTAAATAGCTATTTAGTCGCCAGACATCTTAGGCATCTTAGACATCTTAGGGTACTTAGAGGAAGGTAGCGACATACCACAACATGGATCATGTGAGCAGTTCATGGAGATGGGTTAGGCCACAGATTTCCTAATCAATTTTGTGTTGATATTTTTCCTGAGAAATAAAAAGGGGAGACAAATGGATTTTATTTTTTCTATTTTTAAGGACAAAAATGAGGATAGTAAGCAAAACCAAGGACAAGAGGTGAGTTATCATATGTCAATAATTGCTTTAATGTCATCCAGCACGGGTTGCTATTTACTTCCCAAGAAAATGTATTTTTTTTAAAAAAATTCATGATCTGCATAAATTAGAGAGGTATGAATTATCTGAAGTTCTTGCATGGCCACTTTTAAAAAATTGAGTAAATCTTTCACTTGTAGAAAACACTGAATAAAGATCGGGGACGGAAGCAAGAGCAGGAACAACAGAAACAAAACAAAAAGAAAGGGCTGAAAGATCCAAGTACTTAAGGTATGAAGAGAAATGGAAATGCTAAGGAAGGAAGGCTATTTATATATTTAAATTTGATTATTAGACATATAGTGCCACCTGATAAATTGCTGTTAAAACTACTTATAATCTGAATAGACCTATCCATTCAACTGCTATACAGTAGTCATTCCTCACTATGAATGAACTGATAAGCTGATTACTTACAGCAAAGCCAATTCCAGTCAGCAAACCATTCTATTTTCCAGGATGCTGCTCCTCCTCTGAGCCACATGCCTATTGAACATACTTCATTTATTTAGTTGCTTGAGGGGTTTTTCCGCCCTACCAGGGCTTTCTTTTGTGGTCTTGTGCTTCTACTAGCCTCATTTGGACTCTTTCACTCTTTCAAAGATCTTTCAAAGCATTGAGTTCATAATTAGCATGTAGAAGAAGAAGCTGTATAGTCATGTCTTCCAGGATCTGAACCCAGCACTGGCCTAACTGAAATTAGTGGAAGAGTTTAAAGAATTATTTCTGTTTCCATATCATTTAGAATCAATCCTACCTTTAGGCAGAAATTCTTCATTGAAACAGAATGAAGTCCACAGGAAAAGCGACACCGGGGGAAGCTTCTTAGTTGTTGTTCTGAACTAACAGTTCCCTTCTGTTGAAGGACAGAAGTCCATATGCATGCAACCTATCCAAGACCCTGCAAATTAATCCACGAGTTCAAGTGTGATAAAAGAAAAAGTATGGTTTCATCCACAGTACTGAAGAATCACTAAATAGAGTTGAGCAATTAGTAGTACATTTATTGGTTTTATTATTATATGGAATTTTCTCTATGTAGTTGTATTTCAAACAGTGGTGGGTTCCTATGGGTTTGGACTGGTTTGGCCGAACCGGTAGTGGTTTGGCAGCCTGGGTTGCTGGAACTGGCAGTGATCCAGGCCTGCTACACCCCCAAATCGGTTCTCTAGCTGGCGCCATAGGCGCTGCCATCCTGTTTTTTAGTTTTGTGCATGCGCAGAACAATTTTTATTGTAATGTGCATACATGCACATCACACATCAAGTGCGCATCAAGCGCATGCATGCGGCACGCCCAGTAGTCGCTGCTGGAACCCACCCCTGGTTTCAAATGATAGTACAGCTGTATTGTGCTGCTAATTTTAACAGATTCATTGGATATAACCATTCTAAGCTGGTATGAAATTGATAGGCATTTTCAATGTCAATATATTTAATAATTGCTGATATCTAAGACGTATTAGTGTCTATTTTTTTTTCATCCTTTCCAGAGTGAACTTTGAGAGACAGCTTCAAAATCATCACTAAGCAATGCTTGGCAATCTGCAGCTAATAATAAAGAAAACGTCAATGTTTGGATCAAGTTATTAAATGAATATTTGAGCTAGTCTATTAACTTTTATTGAAGTGTGATTTAGCCAATTAAAAATATGCCCTTATGAATGATTCAAAACCTGTTGCAGCTCTTTCAAAATTATGAATAAAACTAAAACTTTTAATACTTTTCTAGTTCTTTTAAAAAGAATGAAATATTTTTTTTTATTTAGGCAGAATGTAGGATTTCTTTTCTTATGTGAAAGAAATATATGGTGAATGTGATACATACAAGATCCACTATAAACACATTGGCTAAAAAGGAAATTCAGTAATAGATTCCCCTTTTGAAAACCCACTAGAACTTCTCCAATTTTATTGTATGGTTGATCCTATTGCAGAACTTTTAAACATTTTGATCAAAAGACTAAGCATAGGGAGAATTTTGAAGCAGTGAAAAACCTCTATGCTTTAGATAACAAACATGGAAATTTCCAGAAATCTCTAATACTTCCAATTTTCTGAACATATTATTTTCTGAAGAGATTACATAAGCTATAATGCCATATTTACCCATTAGGAAAAAGTGGCTTGTTTTCTATAAAACCAGTCAATTGAGAAAATTTTATGTATTTGCTCAGTACGTTAGAAGTTGTTGAAAGCAAAGTAATGGGCATTGGAATACCTTAGATTTTCATTAATATAAGACCTTCATATCCTGTTTTCTATAAAGCAGAATATATTAGATTGGTATTATTGGGTCACAGACATAACCTAAAATTCACTGAGCAAGCATTCTCTCTCATAATTAGTACGTTATATTACAGTTTATAGAAAATCTAAGAAGATATTAAGTTAATATGTAAAATTCTGTAGATTTGAAATGGAAATGGCCGATCTACCTATTAACCTATCAGACTCTCTACAAATGGTGGAAATTCCTGCTGTGTTTCACTTTGAATGTCCGGTTCTACAGGACCTCCCATCTTTCCTCCAACACAGTCCAGATTACATGCATGGATTGCTTACCTATTTTATTCTCAGAAAACCCTAGTGAAATAATTTATGCTGTTAGGCATTAGCCCAAGCTGCTCAGGGCTCTCAGAGAAACCTGGGACAAAAGGAAGTAATATGGTCATATTTTTCCAACATGGCTTCCTCCAGATGTGCTGAAATTGTAACTCCACAAGTCCGCATCCTCCTAACTAGGCACCAGAATGGAGAATGGTGCCCAGACCTAGCGCATTTGATTTTACCTCAATAGAATTTTTGGTAATGTTGACTTGCTAAATGAAGTGCATGCGCCTTGTATTTGTGTAGAATTTCCCACAAATTCTGCAGCAGAAATGGTTGTTTTAGGCCTCAGAGGAAAATTATAGAAGCTGCTAGTTGTATACATTGCATTAGCAAAACCACCACCACCCTGTCCCTTCAAAATATATAACTGACAAGGAGTGATGCTGATTCATTCCTGACCTATGCTACTTGAGTTTAATTAGGTATTTCATTTGTCTTCATTTTCCCTCTCTTGAATGTGATAATGGCATAGCTAGGATAGGTCAAAATCAGAGGTGGTATTCAGCAGATTCTGACCAGTTCTGGAGAACCAGTAGCAGAAATTTTGAGTAGTTTAGAGAACCGGTAGATACCACCTGACTGCCTCTGCCCCCATCTATTCTCTGCCTCCCGAGCCCCAGCTGATTGAGAGTCAATAGGCAAAGTTAAATTTGCTTAATGAAAGCATGTTTTCTGACCTAGGCCTGAAAAAAGAGGTCTGCTTCATGATCTTTTATTTACGTTAAAGGGAATTCCTCTCCAGCAAAGTTCCGGCAAACAGTCTTTCCTGCGATTTCACAACTACAGACCTTTAAAGTTGCCAGGCCGATATCTTCCAAACGCCATGCTGTAGCATCAATTACTTGGCAAGAAGTCAGAAACAGATCTTCACCCTAATGAATTGAACTAATTGTCTCCTGCAAACTCCCTCCCTCTTTCATTCCTCTTTATTCCTTATGGGAGGGGCCATTCACCATCCACCTGTTCCTTTAGTCCCAAGTCGGTCCTTGTTCCTTAGCTGTTCCCTTCTCCTGGAACCTCTGTACATGCGCACATCAGGAACAGGCTCCAGCTATTCTTCTGCCCCACTGATATATAACTCCAAAGGTAGCTGATAACTGTCAGACGGTCCTGGCCCATCTCTCCTCTGAGATGCTGCCTCCGCAGAGCACTTATCAGAACCTTCCCCAGACTCCAGGACTGGCCCATGTTCCTCCCCAACCTCCTCAGTGTCTGAGTCTGCCACCAGCTCTGTTGGCTGCTGGCATGCCACAACAGCATGATTCACTGAACAGCCATGGTAATTTGCTTAACAATCATGGCAAAACAGTTTGTGAAATCAGACATGGCTCCATTAACAACTGCATTGTTTAGCAATGAAAGTTCCAGTCCCAATTGTGGTGGTAAATCAAGGATTACCGGTACTTATATGTATATTTTACCCTTCAGTAATTTCAACTTCTTTTGTTAGTGTTTTAAGTTGGGAAAGTGAAGCAATACTGAACAAAAGTAAATAACTAATAGAAAGTTAAGAGAAAATGATTTAATAGCATATTTAATTTTCTAGTTCTCTTAGCTACCTTAAATAAAAAAATATTTGTAACCAAAGTAAGTGAGAAATCTAAACTTTGATGTAACCAATAAAAATAGTGTGTTCAGAAACACACATACACACAAGCACATACACACTATATTTGTTCAAAGCAGAAAAAAGCAGAACCCTATTAGTACAGCAAGTGATGTATAAACAATTTCTATAAAAGAAATTAATATCAAAATCTTGAGTGTTCTTACTGCATTCTAAAGAAACATATGTTCTCTACAGTCATTATAATGCTAAACACATTTATATGAAAGGAGAGAACATTAGAGCAAAATTAGCAGTACTGCCTTTTCTATTTTCTTTGCCTTTAGCTCACGCTGGGTATTTGTCCATGGAAAATGTCACAGTGATTTAGCAAAATATGAAAAATCAGAAAAAAGCAATATCATTTTATTTCTATCTCCTGCTATTTTTCCCATTCTACATATAAAAGACAACAAGTAGAAATTGAAGAAATGTATTGGAGGTTACAAGTTCATTGGCCTCTTTACATAATGCGTCTTACAGAACAATTTAGTAATGGCAGAGATAACATCCACATCCATCTCCAGTTTTTACAGAAAGTCATAAAATATAATTTTCATCTGATTTGAATGAACAAGGCTCCATGACTTCGCCAAAATTTGGGTGAGTTTTATGTAAGTCAAAATATTGTATTGTCCAAAATTTATATCGAATATGCCTGATGATACTATATTTATTGTAAACTTGATAATGCTAGCTAAGTCATAACTCTTATTTTCAGGTTTGTTCTAGATATATGTTATTTTAATTGTATAGTATTATAAATGACTTACATTTATGGAAAGGGAAGAAAAAATTAATACCTTAGATTCAGGTTTCTTTCCACTGCAATTTTTCAAGGAGAAAAAAACACATTTTAATCACACATTAAATAATCAGCTACTGAGAAGTCAAATTATGTATATGTATATCTGAAATGAACATCATTGTCCCCAAAATGTTGGTTTGAAATAAATGGATGGTCAATGTTTTGGAAAGTAACATCCCAAAATACAATTATCTTAAATTGAAAACCTGATTGTTGTTTTTATGAGTTTTGCAAACTTCTACATATTCCACATTTCATTAATAAGCTTCACATAAATTGCACAAATCTAAAAATCCATGAATTGTTACCAATCACTGATCTAATTTTCCTTCAGTATTCAATAGAAATTAGTTTGGTTTTGAATCTAATCCTTTTAAAATGTATGCTTCAATTTATAAACATGTTACTATTTTCAAATATATTGTATATTGCACTGAAGTCTCCCACAGTACATATGATAGACTTCATAAAAAAGTGAAGATGACAAAGTAAAATAATTTGGTCTTTCTTTACAAATGAATAGAACTACTTTTCCATGAAAACAATTCTTCCTGGATCTTTAATAACTTTATCAAAACATTCATTACATTTATTATGTCATATAAATTAAGGAAGAGACATACCCTAATGCTTTATTTCAGTATGTCTATTTAAGTGGTATTCATTTCAGACAAAACATGGAGAATAGTTTGACTCCAGTTTCTCAAAAATGAATTCTGCAAGTTCTTTGTTTACATATAATCTGTCTTTCTTAATTTGATTTATACTTACCATACAAAACATTAGTAATGGGTTTTACTTTCAATCATGCAAATTAAAGCATAGTTAAGGAGATTCTACCACACCTAAGACCTATAGTTAAATAGTAGTGTGCTATCCATGTTAGTGATTGTAAGAATTTAAGCAATTTGTTGTGATTTTATATTAAATTTCCATTTGTTAGATTTACTAACCTCATATATTAACCTCATTAAATAACTACATATATTAATATATTAATTAATTAATAACCTCATACATTAATTAACCTCAATATTAATATATTGGTTTTAACTAATCAGTTAGCTTTCCCCTCTTAAATATGTAAGGATTTAAATCTGTACTGGTATTCCTAGAAGGGACACCACAAATTTCAGATCATTTACCCCTGAATAGGAAAGCTTTCCCTCAAATCAGTCTCATTAAAATTACCATGTCAAAGAGAAGCCTCCGTTGGTGTGAAATTATTCTACTCCGAAGAAATGTTTGTAGTATATCACTAATCTGAGAACAGCATGGGGGTAGCCTGCTTAGCTTCAGAACAGAGCAAGGGACCAGGGACTAATGAAACTACATTGATTTGTAAGAAATGATACAAATAAGGTTTTATCAAAAGGATCAATCAAATGATAGTTAACATTTTTATCAAATGTATGAAGCAGGAGTGAAAAATTTAGTGAATATATATTGTTCGGTGGTTAGGGAAGCAAAGTTGAGTGCTTTCATTTGATTAACTGGAGACTTTAAAATGTTGCAATCAATAAAGCTTGTAATAACTTCACCATTAGCCAACGCTACAAAAAAGCTAGTCTTGAGCTCCAGGACGGAAATCAGATTTCATAATGCTTTTTATTGCACACAATAAAAACATACTCATGCTAACTGACCTTATTTGTACCACCATCCCAAAGTTAATTCAGGTCCAGAATCTCGTAAATAAGCTTTTAGCATGAGAGCTAATAAGAGAACCTTTCCCAGAAGCCCCTAATAAATAAAGCTTCTGTTTCTTTAAGATGAGCTCCTTTTACTTCTCTAAAGATATAAGGATACAATAATCTTGAGAGAAACCAGATGGTAGTTTTTACCTCATTAATAAATTAAGCTGTTGCTCTAAATGTAAGCCTGATGGTAGTACTAAAACAAAAAAGTGCAAATGTTCCTATATTTACCAAAAACTTAAAAAATATGTGCGTTTTCTTTTTAACTTCTAGTAGTACTGCGGCAAAAAAACCATATATGAATAAATTATATGGACAAATAGTTCTGGCTATCCAAAGATTGTTTTATACATGATTAGGATTACTAGATTACCAGGCAAAGGAAGACACACTGGTCCTTCTTGGCATCCGCAACAAAAATTACAGTAAAAAAACAGACAAAAAACAGTTTAACAACCTTTTAAAGTTATGCTGGCACTGAAAAAAATGACTTATGACCAGTCCTTGTACTTATGACCATCACAACATCCCCATGGACAAATGATCAAAATGTGGGTGCTTGGCAGCTGGACATGTATTTATGAAGGTTGCAGCATCTCAAAGTCACATAATCATCATTTACAACTTTCCCAGTGGGCTTCTGACCATCAAAGTCAATGGGGGAACCTAAATTCACTTCATAACTCCATGATTCATTCAGGAACTGTGGCAAAGAAGACTGCAAAATTGGGCTTGATTCATTTAACCATCACATTGCTTCAGTGACAAAAACTGAACATCCCAATTATGGTTGTAAATTGAAGACTACTGTAAATGATTAGAGTCTTGTTAGTTTGAGGCAGTAGCATACAGTTGAGAGAAGGTACTAATCCACGTCACAGAGCTGACCTTGTTCCCTTGCATTTAGCATTTATTAGGGAAATGCTGCACCATTGAGAAAAGCTGCTCAGGAAGAAACAGCTTGTTACATACTCAAAAAACTGGACAATACTTGATTTTAAAGCTATGTCAGCCAGCCAGAGGACATGAGGACAAAAAGGACATGTCCTCTTTTTGTCTGTCCGCTGGTAGCCTGGACATTGTTTTTCTTGACTTGATTTGTTTCATCTAGGCTAGGGGTGTCAAACTCGATTTAATTGAGGACTGCATCAGTATTGTGTTTGACTATATGTGTATGTGTGAATGTGGCCAGGGTGGATGTGGCCAGCTCCATGTCACTCATGTTGGGAGAGCCTGTGGTGGACTGAGCACTTTGACAGCGAAAAAGGGCCCCCGAGCTCCATTTTTGGGCTCCTGTAACCCTCTGCCAGTGAAAACAGGTGAGCTCTGTTTTCTGCTGAGATGGCCTCCTGCAATCCTCTGCAGCATGTTCTGTTTTCGCTGATAGAGGCCAGTCCTTCGCTGTTTCCACGGCGGCCCCACGGGCCAGATCTAAGCACCCTATGGACCAGATCCGGCAAGCCTTGAGCTTGACACCCCTGATGTAGGCCATTCCCTGTTGTTGCATTCTTTAACTTTCTTTAAAGCTACTTTTGACAGAGTTCCTTGACTGCTACTGGCAATTCCATACTGTTTACAAGCTCTGTGATCGTGCTTTATTAAATTAGTCTTATGAAATTCTAGAGCATTCTTGTAGTTTTAAATAGTTCCATTTTAATTAAAATTTCTTAAACATTTCATTGCTATTAAGGAACTCTGGGCAATTTCATTTGCAGATTTTTCTCAGCTGCTGCAACATAATGAGTAAAATTCAAGCATTCCCATGACAGGAAAAGTCACAGATGCAGCATATTCCCTTGAGACTTGTACTTTAGCCTTTGAGCTCAACATGCCTCACCCTGAAAAAAACAGATTTCTTAGAACAAGCAATATTAATTAGTTCCTCCCCCACGCAAAGCAAATGCTACCCAGCTTGCTTTTCTGGTAACTTCTAGCTTTCAAATGCAACACTACTTTTTCATTATTTACATAGAAGAGGCACTATAAAAAAAACAGAAAAGTGACACATATAGTAATCTTTAAAGTACTGGCCATTGACCAAAACTAAATAACTATATACAACTCAGTACCAAGAACTTTCTGAAGCAGTCCTAAAAATTGTCCACTTACATACCACTATCTAACTGAGCAGGCTATCTGCTAGTTGCAGTTCAATTGGAAATATACAATTATGATACATCAGGCTACATAAAAATAATTCATATTGTGTTCTTGAGTGCTGTGCAAAAATATATGTTTCTTGTTATTTAAAATACAGCAGTGGCAAATTATGCACCTATTTCACACAGTGTCTAGTAAAACATTAGTTATCTCCAAATTATTATATATAAATATCTTCTTTGTAGACAAATATGTCATATTGAACGCTTATTTCAGTTCCGTTTGGGCTGATTGCTTTCTCCAATGATCAAGTTATTTTCCTGCTCTTCAGCTAAAGCTTGCCATTTCTGCCGGTTCTTCCTGCAGCCCTCAAGCAAAGGGTAACAGGCTTCCGATATGTAGGTTAAGGCCTGCAAAAACAGAAACTTGAATTAAATTAATGGAAAGAGAATAGAGTCTTACAAGATAGCCTCTGTCTCTCAGTGCTTGTAAGGAATAAATTGGGCCCTGAAACCAGTGTTGTCTGGCTGTATACTTTGAAATAAACTAAACTTCTTTGAAATATGCTTTTAAGGTTTTGAAGCCTTCATTTCAACAGGTCATTCCTGTCATCTGCTTACACCTAAATCCTTTTGCACAGAAAATACAGTTTTTAATTCAATACTTGCAGATAATCCTGATACAAATGATTATGTCCTTTGATAGTTTCATAGAGAATACCTCATAAAGCTGTAAGCAGATAGCATCAATGAATCCAACTTGCATGCTGGGAATTTTGTTTTTCTTTTCTCTGTTCATTAAATCCTGGAAGTGGGGGGGAATACAAATATTGGAGCAAGGTTAGTTCAAGAGCATTCAAATATGTCCATGTCCATCACCTTGTTCATTTCAGTCAGGAGAAGTTGGTCTGCATTCAAATCCCAGTTTAGTCTCAGTAACCTATATAGTCATTGATAAGCCAGTTTTGTTGACCCCTAATTTCTTTAATTGCGAAGTAGGAATTGTATTGAGGAGGTACAATCCATTAATGTTAACATAATATTGTTAATGGAGTCTCTAAATGAACTAGGTCAAAATCCCATGAAAAAAAAATCAATGTAAATGGAAACATGCACTTAAATGTGACTTCATCATGCCTTTGGTCTCAACAGATCATTTTTCATATGGCTTAAAAGTTAATGCTGACTGGTTTATAATAAAAAAAAACAGACACACATGTATTTTCAAGTTGTGGAGCATATATTCAGATCATCCATATATATATATATATATATATATATGTATGTATGTATGTATGTATGTATGTATGTATGTA